CCGGGTAAAGAGGGAAGGTAGGGCATAGGGCTAGCAACCCTACCGCCGTAAAACCAATCCAACCACTAAAGAAACTTCAAAGCACAAAAGTACAAAGTACAAAAAAATGAAAACAAAATTATTCCTCGCTGGAATCGGAGAGGCGAAATGACGCCGGTTGGTGAAAGCCTGTCTTCGGGAAGCCAATTGGCCGATGTGTCTTCTCTTCTCTTCTCTCCATGAAAGCAAAGGTAAACGTGGGGACATGGAATGTCCACACCATGTATGAACCTAGCAAGGCTGCCCAGATTGCAAACGAGATGAGAAGGTATTGCATTGAAGTGCTAGGAATGCTAGGAATCAGCAGATGAAATGGAAATGGACTCTCCAAACTGTCAACTAGAGAATCAATAATTCACTCCGACATTGTCACCCAGAAGACAACCACGAGCACACTGAGTTGTTGAGTGGCTATCATGATGTCACTCACCAAGAGTATCGAAGGCTCTCATGCAGTGGGAACCAATCTCCTCCTGCAGGATAACGACAGCAAGATTCAACTCAAAAGGGACGAAGGTCACAATCATACAATGCTACACTGTGCACCTACAAATAATGCAGAGCAAGAGAAGGAGGAGGAATTCTACAGACAACTGCAATCAACACTGGACAAGACGTCAGTTGGCGATATCAAAATTCTAATGGGCGGGGTGACATGAATGCCAAACTGGAAGTGGACAACACAGGAAGAGAACTCATCATGAGTAGAGAAGCACTCGGTGAGGTGATGAATGAGAATGGAGAACTGTTTGCAGAATTCTGCGCATTCAACTCAACGATTTGGTGATTGGAGGCTAGGCAGTGTGTTCAAACACAAGGATATTCACAGGGCAGCGACATGGATTCGATTTCACCAGATGGACACACTAAAAACCAAATCGACTTTATCTCAATCTCAAGAAAATGGAGACGCAGTCAGCCTACTTGATACAAGGTGAAGAAGGGGAGCAGATGTAGGTTCAGACCATTATCTAGTGCATGGGACCTTCAAAATCCAATTGAAAGCCTTGAAAGAAGTTGGTGACAGAGCACAGTTGAAGTCCAACACCTGGAAACTGAAGGACGAAACTACAAAGAAAATTTTCACATCAGCCAGCCATCAAGACAAAATGGGAGATATCGGGCAAGATCCCTGAAGAAACATGTGTGGATGAAGACTGGAACTCTTTGAAAGCTGTGTGGAAAGAAACCTGCACAGCCCTATTAGGAAGGAAGAAGAAAGAAGACAAGGAATGGATCTCGACGGATACCTGGAAGCTGATAGAGCAGGGAGAGGAGGATGGTGAAGTGGAAGATAAACCAGTGCAAGGATGCACAACGAGAAGAGGAACTGAGCACAATGTATAAAACACTACACTGGACAAAGAAGTGAAGAAGAGTGCACGCAAAGACAAAAGACAATTCCACGACACACTGGGAAGTGAAGCAGAACAGGCTGCATGTAGGAGAGAGAGACCTGACAACATTGTATCAAATAACCAGGTGACTATCTGTTAGGGAAGAGATCAACACAAATGAAAGCAATAAAAGATGATGGAGGAAGTTTAATTAGCAAAGAAGAGAGACAAAGGAAACGATGGGCAGACCACTTCAAAAAGCTCTTGAATCGACCACCTGCACTCTGTCATGAAATACCACCTGCAGCCACCACCAGCCACAGAACTACAAGTGAACACAAGGCCTCCAACGAAAGTCAGAATAATCCTGAGCGCCATAAAGCTACTGAAGTGCGGGAAAGCAGCAGGACCAGATGCAGTCCTGCCAGAAGCACTGAGAGCAGACGCAGAGACAACAGCGGACATGCTCACACCACTGTTGCAGAAGGTGTGGAAGGAAGGAAGGAAGGAAAGGTACCTGCCTATTGATTGGAAGGAGGGCTACATTGTCAAACTCCCAAAGAAGGGTGAATGACCTAAGTCTTTGCAAGAACTGGTGTGGAATCACGCTCCTGTCCACCCCAAGCAAAATATTAGGCCGCATCATCCTGGAGAGACTAAAGGATTCACTAGATTCAAAACTACGACTGGAACAGCCTGCCTGACTAGATTCAGGAAGTACAAATCATGTGTGGACCAAATTGCAACGCTTCGCATCAGCATAGAAGAGAGTATAGAATTGCAATCAACCGTCTACCTGAAATTCATTGACTTTGAAAAGGCTTTTGACAGCCTCGACCGAGAAGTAATTTGGTAGGCAGTTGCTTCAACACTACCTAATATCACAAACCTTTATCAATCTCATTCAACAAGTATATGAAGACGCCACATGCCAAGTAATCCACAAGGGGAAGCTCAGTGATGCTTTTCAAGTGAAGACAGGAGGGAGTAAAACAAGGCTGCTACCTACTATCACCCATGATATTCCTGATTGTGGTTGACTGGACTGAATCATGCAACAAACAGTGAGGAGAGAGAAGAGGGGCATACACTGGCTGCACCGGGGAAAATATCCTAGAAGATTTTGATTTCGTCGGTGACTTGTGCCTGATGTCACATACACATACACATACACATACACACATCTACAGGCAAAAACTAACAAGTTGACAGAAGAGCCAGGGAGCCAGGACGCGACTTCAAGTGAATGAGTATAGAGAAGACAGAGGTGATGAAGATACCCAACCAACAACAACAGCATCAGCAACAACAAGCTGCAATCACCATCAACGGGAGAAACTTAAAGGAAGTGGCCTCCTTCACCTGTCTAGGCATGCAGCACTGTCTCAACTACAGGCGGCACTGACGAGGATGTCAAAGTCAGAATCGGAAGAGCAAGACAGGTGTTGATTAGCCTGAAAGCAGTGTGGAGATCTTCTGCACTGCACTCAGCATAAAACGTGAACTACATACAGATTTTCAACACTAATTCAGTCAAGTCAGTGCTACTGTATGGTTGAGAGACTTGGTGTGTTACGAAAGTGATTTCCAAAAACTACAGACATTCATCAACAACTGCCTACGCTGACTCCTTACTGAAGCTCAGATGGCCAAAATAGTCAAAATAAGCAACAAGGAACTCTGGGAACGAACTAACCGTGAAGCTATCGCTGAACAAATATGCAGTGTAAGGAGGTGGAGATGGATTGAGCATACATTGAGAAGGCCGACTGGGGACATCACGCGTCAGGTCAGACACTCGAGTGGCACCCAGATGGGAAGTTACGAGTTGGGTGTCGTAGGTGAGGGTGACATGGAGGAGATCGTGCGAGGAAGAAATGAGAGGTTGTGGGCTGTCGTGGCGCCAGGTTGTGAAGACTGTAGAGAAGATAGTGAAGTGGAGACATGCTACTTAAGCGGTATGTTCCATTAGGAACCTAGGGGAGAAGTAATAATTATAATAGTAATAATATTTTCCTAATACTGGTGAAATGATCGACATTGCAGTAGATTATACAGGTTGATTTGACACTTTTGTTCAACATGTATACTTAAAAGAATAAAATTATCCGGTTTTTCACTAGTTTTGGTCTCATCTCCAAGTTCCAGGCAGTTCTTTAGATCTATGAGATGTTCATCACAACCTGGTGCATAGGCCCCATAGTCTAGCAATAGACATGCAGGTCGTGGATTCAGATGAAAACTGACACTTCTGCCGGAGCTTTCTTTCACCTTAAACTGATCAGTGTTATGCTAGAAGCCTCATTCTGTTAGGCTTCAATAGATCCATATTTACCAGGTAATCGGTTCATCCGTACTCACCTTCTCGTGGACAGACATTCGTAGGATGCGTCTTGCTGAAGTTTTCTTCAACTTTTAGAAAGAATGCAGCTCAACTTCTCGAAAATAAATCAATCCTTCTAGGAGACCTGGCCTGTGGACGCATAATGCCGAAAGCTACAGAGTAGTGGTTTCCTTTGGGCCACTGAATTACATCGAAGGCTGGGACTAACGACATTGGTATTCCCGACCGAATATTTCTCGCCTTTACAAGATAAGACCACACTGGTCTCTGGGGATTGCTACGACAACGATGACTACTGGGATTAGGAAGTTGAATTCACCCTGCGTTTCGGTGGCACCGGTCCCAGTTAACTGGGTGGGATCCTATCTGTCAACAAAACCGTTCATGCTTTGGAGACCAGTGCCACTAATCTTGCACATATGGCTATCGTCAACCATGATTTTCGTTTAGTCAACTTGAAGGTGTATGGGTTAATATCCAAAGGAGTCACGAGGAGGTTCATTGTCTTACTGAATTAGGCTTAACCCGTAATCCCTGTAATCGTGAGTCAGCAACACAAACCCAGCATCACTTAGCCACGCCGTGTAGAACTTCTTCACGTTTATGCCCTGGTAGGCAAATATGTTATGGATCTACGCTGCCTAGAGAGTTGCAAATACTTATAATTACTTAAAACATTAGAGCTAATATGTGTGAAGTTTAAATATATCTGTGTATACCTAACGTAATAACAGAAGTAGGTAGGATCTGCATCATGGTGATATTGTTTATAAAAATTTCTTTAGTTCTATCAAGTTTCATTCAGTCATTTGTTTCAACTATTACTATGTACCGGTTTGTTTATTTATGCAGATGTTTATGATGCCCAGAGTTTAATTCCGTTCTTAGTTAGTCTACATACACATTCGCTTTTCCGCACACATACCTGCGCTATTATTTACTAATATACTGTGTAAACTTTTAATCCGTTTGTTCATTCACTCTTCATCATTCTTTGGTCGTAATAATCCACTTCTTTGTCTCTGAAATATACAAAGAATTTTTTTCTTGCGTATTTATGAAAATAATCTTTCCTTCCGGTTTCTATTAGCTTATATCTTGAATAAGCAAAGCGGATATATATATATATATATATATATATATATATATATATATATATATATATATATATATATATGTTACACCAGGGATCATAACAGTGAGGAATGGAAAGTAAGAGAGGTTGGGTAAAAAGAGAGATAAACATACACAAACACACACATAAAATGAAGCTAACTAACTTACACATTATTTAGGTGACCAAGCTCATTGAGTGCACCATATGGTATACTGGAGATATTATTTCCTTGAAGTATCCTGTAAATTGGGTTGATAAAGTGAGATAGCAAAAGAAAGTTATGGAAAAACATGAAATATAGTCCATCTGTTGTAGAAAACGGTAAACATAGTTTTATCTTATGAAGAGAACACGGTTGAATATATTATCATTATTTGATGGATCTGGTAGGCAAAACAATTTCCTGTTTAATCAAGTATATGCCGGGATGATAAGCTGAAGTTCACTGTTTGGAATTCAGTAAGAAAGCAAACTTATTTTTTATTTTAACTCGGAAACAACTGATTACCATGTTTAGTGATACAGCAAACTCTTGAGATTTCTTTCTATAGATTCCCCTTGTTATTCGACAGTGGAAGTCAACTGGTAGGAAACTCTGCACAAACTAGGCTTCGTGCTCGATAAGACTCATCATTGTGGGGTATCTGCAGTCGTGAAGAAATTGGTGCCTCCCCAGTGACTCGAATATGCCTCACTTATCTGTTTTTACCTCTACTAGCCTTATACATGACTGGATTATGTACATGAATTTCCCATCAGTAGGTAAACCATGTACCTGTGTATTCCTTGATGCTTAGCACAAAGCGTGTTCTATTCAAACGCATCTCCAAACACTATCCTGTATATCTGTCCAAAGGATGGTGTAAAGCCATCAACAGCTCGATTTTTGAGCATTCGGTTATCCCTAGTCACTGCGTTTTACGATTATTATTTCAAAGTCATTTATAAAGTCAAGTCTAACATATCGAAGCGAGCGCGTACTCGTCACCTAAACATAGCATAGACATTGGGAATCTAGCTTTACAAGCATGATCTTTGTATTTAAAAGGGATATATTCAATCTCTAGTTTCACCTTGGTTTTAATCTCCCTAAGACAGTTTATTCACTTCTATGTTTATTTACTATAGTCCTATAAGCAATTTCTGATGACCATGATTTGACCTTCTATCTCTTATCACCTTGTAACTTTATTGACCGTTTTTGATGACTTTATACTGATCAGCTAGTTATTGATAGATATATTTTGTTATAATTATGATTAAGATTCACAGTTCTGGAAGACGATTCATTGAAAAGAAAATTTTCTTCGTTGAAGTGTCTTTTATTGACTTTTCATTGTCTAATGTGACTATTTCGATTAAAAAAACTTGGTAACTATCAAATCTTCAACTTAAGAATTCAGCCATCTATTTTATATATGCTGCGGCAGCAATAAAGTCTTAACCATTTAATATCATACTTCATAAAAGTACAATTTTTTGACAGACATTTCAAGTTTAACGGATGGTTACAGAAACATCTTTTATGTAGAGATTAGTAATTGTATGGCATTTTCAGGTGTATTTTTTGTCAATACGTTTAGTGTCATATTAAAAATGCGGTTTATTTTTTGTGTACAAGAATTTAATTAAATAACTAAAAACAGTTATAAATTAGCAATTTTTACATACTTGAACCTTTTTGTCTCTTGGTTCTCTGAGAACGTGCAGATTGAGAAATGGAAAACTCAATGGTGTATAAGTTAGTGAAAAAAAATGATAACTTTCAAGGTAGTATTCATCATGAGCTGATATCATTTGGAGAACCATTGAAAACCTGGGAATACTGAACAGAATTTTCGTCTTAGTCTGAGTTTCCTCAGAAGTGCACACCAAATACCCCTTTAGAGATCGAACTCAGAAATTGCAAGTTTCCTGGTGAGTCTATGATTAATACGACAATGAAACCAATAAATCCCCATAAACCTTCAAAATGAACGACTAACTTTACTGCAACCACCGGTAATCAATACTGTCAATTGGATTTCAATGAATAAACGAACCAACTACCAGGATTGACCTTTCTCCATCTAAAAACTATCGACTAAATTCTACACACATTTATTACCAATGACCTATTATTTTCTTGACAGTTTTAAAATGACTGGAATCATATATAACGCTCTTCTTAATTCGAACAAGTTAGTTGAATTGTGTGAAAAAAATGGAGTTCATAACCGCAAAACAAAAAAAAGGTATCCTTCAAACACTTACAGAACACGAAGGTTAGATAAACCATGGAAAGCTTCTGGATGAATGCATTGTAGATTATTGTAACTTAATACACTGGAATTATTATCAGTGAAAAGAAAAGAAAACAAAGCAATAAAGATATGAATACAAACACCAGGGAAAAAGTTCATGACTTCCAACTGAAGCGTCCAATTAGTAAACCATGAAACTGTGTAGATAATTCATTTAGCTGACGGAAAATTTATCAGTATATTGCTTCTTGTGTTATTCATAATTTATTTCATGTCATAATTTATTCGAATATATTTATAAACTTTGCAAAATGTAGACATGATATTTATTGTTCAGGTATATCTTTCTTTTTTAAACGAAAAAGTGGTTTCATCTGTTTCAAATAATCCTTCTCTATGATGGAACTGAGGTAAGTGATAGTGAGTAGTGTGATCATTTTAGTGCTTTTGTTTTCTTTGAGGTGGATGACTTATTGAGAAAACGATTTTAGTTGGTGAACTAGACAGTGTACCTGGAAATATACATCAACAGTAGAATACTCGTATTTCTTGATAAATTTAATCCACATTTGTGGAAGTTATATCGTTGGCCATCATAAGTTCCCAACAACAAGCTTATACCATTACATAATATTCTTTACATTCTTTCTAACTTAACTATTTTTGGTTCACTTATCTCATTTTCGAGTAAAACTCCAACTGTAATGTGTTCGTAGCTTATTTTCATTACTTCTTTATCATTGAGTATAATAAAGTGTTACCGAAAATCAAGGAAACTAGATTTTCAATGGATAGTTCAACTACACCTAGTGAACTACACTAGCGAGTAATATGAATAGTTAGAAATCAATCTTCAAATTTATCCAGGTGGATCAGAGTGATCTAAACACAGGAGGGGTCGTTTTACGCTTTTAGGGCTAGGTTCATCAGTGGTATACCTGTTCAGTTTTAGCCCACTCAACCAGATAGCTTAGGTTAACTGAATCGGACTAACTAACTTATATAAACGGGTATACAATAAATTGATTGGTCAATCGGTAGATTATTTTTACTTTGCATATATCTCAGCTGGACAGATGAAAAACTTCTCAGAAGTGAGAAGTGTCAACTTCAACTATTCAGACCAACCTGCACTTGCATAAGTGTAAACATCTCAAATTGAATAATAAGTACGAAGTTTTCTTTTCTATTGTTCAAATGACCTCTCAATGAAATTTCGTCTAGATCATATATAGTAAGTGTTTGAACAAACAATGAATCATTTGTTAGAACAAGATTTCTGTCATCTTTATATTCAAGTATATTTTAACAATATATGTACAAGAAAGTGAGTAATGAATAGGCAGAAATTCTGTTCATTTCACAACGATGATATAATTAGTTATATTTTAAGAATTCAAGATTTTTCTCAGGTAAACAGTCACGAAACTTAGACAAATATATCCGCGTACACATACTTTCCTGTATACTTTATTCAAAACTTAAGTTCAAACAATACACATGCGATTTGTTTATGCTTTTAGCAAATTAAAGCAGGAAAAGTTTTGTCTTTCTTTTACAAACGATATTTCTCTAACTGGTTGGTGGGCTAATTGTAAACATTAGCGGGATATTGTTCTTTTGATTATATTTCCCGGCAGGCGAAATACTCATTTCTCAGTCCTCAGTACTCTTTTTAAAAGAAAACAGTTGAAAAATAACTGAACTAGAGTGAACGCTAAATAGTCATTTCATTTTGGTGCACACAATTTTACTATTCCTGGATCCATTTTAGTTCTTCAGATTCCTAGTTGATAGAACCACTGTCCTCTAATACTATCATATCGTTTACTTTATCAGTAATACGTGATGATCATAGATGAAGGAAACGTGAAATGGCATGAAGAAAATGCATTCACTGCATGCCTAATCTCTTTATATATCAAAGTTTCGTAACCAAGATTTATTTTACTCCACTCAATCACCAATTTGAATATCGAATACTATGTCAGTTCCACCGTCCAAATCGTTTTATTTCCAAGTTCCTGGTGTATTAAATAATTATGGATTGTATAAACACTAGAATTCTGCTTTGATTAGTAGGCATAGAATCGATTTTCTAAGTACCGCACTTAATTTGTACAAAATTTTCTACCATCTCTTCTTTTGGCTGCTTAAAAGTGAATGCTTATAGCTTGTCACAAGCTCCACCATTGATTGGATCGGATTGGTCGGCTGTTATCGGCATATGAACTCTATGCGGATGTCTCGATATGAACATTATTTTTCAATTTAATATCAGTGATAGATATTTGCTAGCAGTGGGATTCAGGGTGTGCTTTTCGTCCCGTTTGTGACTCGCCAGATGGATGTAAGTACATCCTAGTGACTGATGGCGTTCTCATGAGTGCTCGAACTCAGAGGCATTTCAGTTTCATTGGTTGAACAACTGTTGGACACCATGAAAAATAGGATAGTAGCTTAATTACAAACTCTATAATTTCCACCTCACTCTAACAGGGAATTTCCTACGGAATCTAGCCTTACAACAGTTATTAAAATAGGAAGATTTCAGTTGTATTTAAGAAAAATTTATAAGTATGGAGAGTGCAAAATTCATTTTTGTTTCTTGATAGTTACAGACAGATATTATAGAGGGTATCTCAGTCATAAAGAAATACTTAAGGAGACAGAGATCAACTTACATTGTTTTTAGATTCGTTAATTTCTGAAACATACGTGGAGGTAATTCTCTCAGCTTGTTATAACTTAGAACTCTGAAGAAAAAAAAGTGAATGACTGAAAAGTATGCAAATAGAAAATGAGATAAAACAGGTATGCAGGCATTCTGATATTCACTAGATTCTGTTGTCTTGGTACTCATCAAAGTTAGGGGAAAATATTCAAAGCCTTCTAGGTGTATGGGTTTGTAATAAAGTGGGAAGTACAATAAACTTTTCAGCTACATAAAACCTTAAAAACATATATAGCAATGATCATAAATGAATAAGGGTCTAATGAATAGCAGTGAAGCAAACCAAGAAGCTGGTGGGCAGATATGAACTGTGGAATTGGAATACGATGTGGTTTAAGAACCTCGTATATTAAAGGCAGGAAACTTGTTAGTTATCTGAATGAAAACAATTAATTATGTAAATTTTATAAGAGCAAGAGAGTCAAGTAGAAAATAATGATTCCGCCTAATAACAGGCTAAAATCCATTTAACTACAGTTTTGTAAATGAGGCATATTATATATCTACGCTTAAATTTCCGCATGAAAGTCACTGATACAGCATTTTCGGAAGATATTCTAACTAGTTTTTCACTCGACCGGGACATTGGTGCTTACTGTTAAGGAGTCCCATACTAGGACGAAATAGCCGTCCAGTGCTCCCAAGTTATCCATGGTTCTCCAACTAATGTCAATTCGTGATGAATGCTACGTGAAAAGTAAATTCTCATCAACCTCAAAAAACATTGGTGTATAATGCTAATTAGTGAGATGCTTCCAGACGGGTATCCTGAAGTTCTAATGAGAAGCCATGACCTGTGGGGTCAGCCAGTCAGAAGGGAAGCTGACTCCAACTAAAGACCTTGGTTGATAGCCGCACTGTACTACGAATCGACAGAAGTGAGAAACTGTGGAGCGTTGAACTCCGACCCAGTGAGTTAATGGTTAACGTGTTTGCCATGAAACCTGAAGGTTCTGAGTTCGATTCGTAGCTGCTGAGAAGTCCCATACTAGGACGAAAAAGCTTTCCAGTACTCCCAGGTTTCCAATGATGCCAGCCCATGATGGTACGATCAGTAATGAAACCACGGTTGTTTTTATGAGCAAGTGAAATCTGAATATTTCAATGTCATGAAGACAATCTGCTATTTGTATAAAAAGGCGGAAGAAAGAATCAAATGATTGATCCATGAAGTAGGGTGACTAACAGTGGACAAGAAAATCACTGTAGCACAATTGCATTAAAAAAAGGAAGGAAATCTTATGTATGAGATGGCTGTCTAAGGAGCTACATGAATGAATACTTATCCAAACGTCTCTTTTAGATATGAGAATCACTCTTCCATACGTTAGAAACTGTTGAAAATTAATCATGGGACTATTACAGGCTATTATTTACTTAACCAGTGAATAATAGACGGACTGTTAATTCTTTTCAGCATAGAAGGAAATGTTGTTGAATACGTTTATATGTCTACTTCCCTTTGTGGAGAAACGGATTTCAATAACGGGGGAGTATCTTGTAGATAAGCCTATCCAGTCAAGTATATCCTCCAAGAAATAAACATATTTTAGATGGTGGGGGTCAGTCATAACTTGCATCATCTGTGACGCAAGCTAGACATTCTATTAATTATCCTAGGATTAGTGTACTGCACTGCAGTTCGTTCCGTCCCACTATACGGCTGTGAGATATGGTCATTAAAAGTAGAAGATATAAAGCAGTTACAAGCTTTTGAGCATGCATGCCTTCGTGGTATTGCTCGTACAAGGTGGAATGACTATGTCAGCCATGTTGAAGTTAGAAGTGTACTAGGAAAGGAGGACAAGCCAGTCTATGAGGATATGAACCTTCAGCAACTGAGATGGCTTCAGCATGTGCTGCACGCGCCAAGTCACCATATGCCTCGACGTGAAGTGCCAAGAAAAACTCATTTTTGTAGAAAGAGTTCAGAGTGGCTACGGTGGCACCAAAGCATGAAGTCTCTGACTTTGTCTGGACCACGTAAGGAGATGTAGACTACTTGGCTTGAGTCCACGATACGGTAGGAGTTAACGGTTAGGAACTCTTGGTAAAATAGCTTAACATCGGTCACAATGGCGTCGATTTGCTCAGTCTTTGATGCATTTTAAGGCTCGAATAGTCTAACTAACCTTAATTTCAAAATTCTCTCTCCTCTCATATACCTTTGTTCACTTTGATATCAGTCCTTCATGTCAATTTGTTCTTTGGATACTACTGCGAAGTTTGGCAACTTGGACCAATGTACTTGTGTGCGAGGTTCTACGCTGGTTTTGCCTGTATGTCTAGGAGCCAGTCAGCTGTAAGCCCTGCTTCATATGGGTTTCCTGCTTGACAATGAGAAGCAGAGAGTATCTGCAATCAAGGGGAAGTTAGTGCTCTAGTTTGGGAGAATGGTCTAATCACTACTGAGCTTACTACATTAAATGGCTTTATTGAAAAGAGTTTTCATTATTGACGCACACATTTGTAATTTTACAAGTCTGTCTCAGTGCCAAGTCATTTATATCCGTCAACTAAGTAATGACCTGATGACACCAATGGAGTCAAATTTGGGAATAGCTTTTCTTCAAATTTTCCTTTTAGATTAATGGATTCATACACATATTTTATCAGTGAAAATAAACCATTTAAAGATCAGCCTTTCCAAGGTCAATAAATATCATTCAAATATAGACAAATAAACTGGCTATGTGGTAACTTCACCCAACCTGCAATGCTGAACAAAAGATAGATCTATCGACAGAGAAAATCAATGTAGAACTGACACAGAAAGCATCGGTTTAAGTTGCCATACAGAGAGACCAACTTTCAGCCACATCACCAAGAGACATCAACCACCAATTTCTATCTTCTCGAGGACTTCAACCAGGACAGAATTTCAAAATTTCACCACAGAATTAAAAATTGCCACTTTATTTCTTGTACATTTACTGCCAAGCTATAGTTGATTTTAGACATAGTTTGTAATTGTGTAAAGTGTTCGAAATGGTATATTTCCAAAGTTTCGCACAAAAGTTTAATCCGAAGTTCTTCAGGGAAGTGATCAAAGCTAAAATATTTCATTCCAAACACTCTGTGACTTATACAAATAGAAACCATATCTAAAATCTATCTTTTACTTAGCGCTCAATGTTTTGGATGCTATTCGGTCAACTCTTGACGATAGTTCACATATTTCAAGTTGTTATTCATCGTAGACTGACATCAGTTGAAGGAACAAAGGAAACCTAGGGCACTGGACAGCTGTTTCGTCCCAGTATGGGGCTCCTCAGCAGTGAGCACCGAAGACCCCGCCAGGTATCGAACCCGCAGCCTTCAGGTTCCATAGTCAGCACTTTACCATTGAGCTACTGGGTCACATAATCTACTGGTCACTCATTCACTACTGAAGAAATATTTCCTTATTCTTTTACTTAATGTTAGAGTGATAGTTCACTTCACCTCCTGGAATGATTATTATATAGGGAAGTTGTCGCAATTGCAGTAGCTTTAATCATATTCGGCCTTAATAATCAGATTTACGCGGCATTTCTTATCAAAACAGGATATAAGTGTAAAATATTGACTTTACTTTCAAAGTTCAAAAGTGACAATCTTTTTTACTGATTAGCATGGGTCTACATTGTTTGATTTTTAGCATGAGTGTGGAAGAAGGATTACCACTGAACTGGAAAATGATTCAATGATAATTGATGACTGACTTTCAAATGAATATTCAATATCTGAAATAAGTCGTGTAAGAGGTAAAGAGTGATGTCTACCTATTAAGGCATCGGTTGATGGCCACACCATGATTAAAAGTTAGCACCGATTGGAAATGCTGAAGCACTGGATTTTCAGCCATGACAAAGCAGTAAGGGATCATAAGACATAAAAACTCTAGGACTGAAGTCTCATTGGTTGCAGATATGCTCTTATGGAAACCTCAAAAATCGGACCAAGCAGCTTTCTAGTTCCAATCTGTTTTTAATAGTTGCCTTTAATTCGTGGTAAAAACGGTCTTAAAGTGACAGTTAAACTGATTTATAATTCAGATTGTCACTTCGCTTCCATAAGATGCTTGATGACTACATTACAAGATGGTAACCTAACTCTTTATGGCCTACCGAAAAACAAGCATTAATTTTGCACCCTTAACTGCATCGTGAAGTATAGAATTACTTGTGACGATTATGATTTTTAGCGATTCTGTCACTTGTTAATAGTGAGTGCTCCTGAACAACTAATGAAAGTAGTAGAAGACAAGCCACATTCTATTCTTTGTTAGTGACCGTTATTATAGATGATTTGGTCGTGACTCATCGAAATGATTATCATTATCAACTGGCCTAGAAAACAATCTGAAGAACACTGTAACATTCTAATCTGTGAAATATAATATCAGTTAACGTTGTTCTGAGTGTTTGTCTCCCCTCTTCATCGTACTCATCTCAAAAGTAGCAGAAGTAAACAAGTCTACTAGTGAAACGCTTCAATGTGTGTGAAACCTGAGATTTTGTAGCAGTGGAATAACAAAGGGAATATTGTTTTTTTTTAAATAATTTCTTTGAGAAGTGTCTTTATTTGCAATTATTATCTATTTTCTGAAAGAGATTCGAGTGAAAAGTAAACATGTTGAGTAACCAAAAGATAAGGAATAAAATTATTTTAAGCCTTTTATTTGTCCTTACATTTTAATCTTTGTAATAACTCAGTGTTCTTAATAATCGAGGCACTTTGCAGGATGTTCTCAAGTTCTTTAAGTGTAATCCAAATTTCATTCTGACCACATCCTTGTTATCTGCTTCAGGATGAATCTTCTAGAGTTCTGATGAGAGGCTATGACCTGAAATGTCAGTGGAGTCGAATGCGATTACAGTTACTTGCTAGTGACAGTGGATTATGGTAGCATTGCAATGTTAATTGAAACCAGTTGGGAAAATAAACTGCTTCATTCCAATCTGTTGTTTGAATAGTAACATGTTCTGCACAATATCTAAACTTCCTTGCTTCTATCCTGCAACAGGATTTAAGTGAGCATTTCTGAAGTGTATCAAACTAGAACAAAACAGTTATCCTATATCCTCCTTAGGTTTTCGATGGTTTCCCAGATGATTTCAATCAGTGATCAGTACTTTGAAACCACTTAATTTCCTACAAACTTCTACGCTTCTTTGGAACTGGAAATTACACCAAAACAAACATCCCAATTATTTCCATTCGGCTTAATTAAATTAAATAACCGGTAATGTATATATATGGAGGGTAAAATACTGAATTTCGATGTATAAATGATTTAAATATTTGTGTACTCACAAGGTGTGCAATTTCTTCAGATGGGATATTCGATTCGGATCAATTTTAGTGATTTGGTTTCGCTCCAGATATCTGACAAAATGATAAGAAGAGAAAGTTAGAAAATATTTAAAAATCTTTTGTATAATATGTAGTGACGAATTTAGGAATAAACTTACGAAACAGTTAACTGTGCTAAGGTCACAACAGTTGTTAACTTTGAAGTAAAACATTTTCTCAAATCACTACATTTTATCTTTTAGGTAGCCAAAATAAGGGTTAGTGATTATGAAGTGAATTGATCAAGGGTGCGACGTGTATATGACCTTATAATTGGATATTTTAACTTCATTCTGTCTTAGTCAAAGGAATGAATGTGTCAAGTCGATACAAAGTACTGCACTGATGTTCTGTTTGTTGGCACCGACCTACAAGAAATATTCGTGTTGTTTTGAGACTATATATTCCTACTAAAATTCAAACTAAAGTCGGTTGCGCGTTATCTAGTCTAAAGGCGATTATTTATCTTCTGTAATTCAATCAGATTCAGTTTTGAAATCTTGTCTTCGTCTCAGAAAGAAATAATCTAGCAAACGTTGTATGCTATAGTTATCTGTAGACTGAGCTCCTTTTAATATTAAATTGAAAATCAGTGATGACACTGAATAGTGACACCATCAGCCTTTCAATGGTTCTGTGTTTCATGCTATCTTATCTTTGAATAATTCATAATATCTAATTCAATTGACTCACAGGGATTACGCTAGCAATGAAATGTTTGCCTGTATGCAAACGTCTAATCTACTAAATGTTAAAAATAAATTTTGTTTAGAAGTTTGTGGGACTGATCAATTTTAGCATAATATTCATCAGGGACCAAAATCAGTTGGAAAACCATTTAAAACCTAGGAGCATTGCAAAGCTGTTTCGTTTGGGCATGGAATTCCTCAGAAGTTCGTTTGCTGAAATCAGTCACTCTTCTTGAACCTTAACATTAAAATTTCCGTCTAATGCTCATCAGTGAGATCATTCGAGATGGATTCTTAGAAGTTTAAATAAAAAGCCAGGATCTATGGGGGCATCCATGTGTAGTGCAAGAAGAAATACTCTCTCATGACAGTGGATGGGGGTCGCGCTATGTCACGAAATAATGAAAGTAGGGAAATGTGAACCATCGAATTCTGGCCTACTTGCTAGTTTGTAACATGGTTGTCGTGAGCTCTAATGCCCATGTGTTCGCATTCTAGCAAGGTTGGGGTTGGAAATGCTGAGCAGCTCCATACTAGAACAAAACAGCTATGTAGTGCTTCCAGGTTCTCATTGATTCTCTAACTGATATCAGATGACGATTGACAAAATGTTAAAAGTTACCTTTTGGATGGAAACTTTTATTACTGAAGCAAACATATCAAAAGTATAATTCACTTTTATCTACAAGACTGTGTTTCTATATGCGGCAAGGGATGGATCACTGGGATGCTGGATAAGAGAAAACTGGAAGGATATCTCACTTGTTATTTGCATTCTCTTCTGCGGAGGTGGTTAAAGTCTCGAAAGTCAGTTGTAAATTTTTTTTGACCGCTACTTCATTTATTGTTTACTTACTAATTTTGTCTAGAAGCAATAACTAGAAATATATGTAAATCGCGCTAAAAACTAATGTAGAAGTAGACATTAGGTAGAACGGTGTGAGAGCGATGGATGTGTCCCACATTTATTTTATATTTTCTTCTTATATTGAAGAAAATCAATTGAAAAGGCTTATTTACTCGTATCATCTTTACTGTATAATTAAAACTATGCTAGATACCGAAGTGTACAACTGTATGAATGGATTTTTCACACATGATAAAAAGGGCTAGAGAGTAGGCATTATCATACCTTCGAATAATCCACAACTTTGCAGTCAGAATAAAACGTATTGTTTCCAGACTAATGCTGCTACTACTATTGTTACTGATTATGATAGTCAGACAAGTAGTATGACAGTCAATCTGATGAAAGTATAAGGTTTTTACTACTTATCTGTCACTCTGTCTTCAGCTTAAATATGACTAATGATTGTTCTACAGTGACCATTAAATATATACCTCCAGAATACTAAAATGTAGTTACTTTACTAGGTGATGTTTTTCATTCTGTAAGATGAAATAATGTATAAAATAAACTTGAATGACTGTCTGGTGCATAATTTAATAGAATAGTCTTTAGCGCCGCACAATCAAATGGTTGTTTTAGAGACAAGAAGCGTAATCAACGGTTCAATTGTCATGTACTCTATCATTAGCTTTGGTCATAAAATACATAGCAACAAGATATTTTAAATGCATTAATCTACTTTGATTGTTTGACCTACAGATAATAGGAAGAATGCAAGACAAAAGTGATTTGTATTTCGCCTAGTGGATAACGTATTGGCATCTGAGGCGATTGGAGCTGGTTGGTAGTCTCAGTGAGGTGCAGGTACATCTAGGTGACGAGTCCTAAATAGGACGAAACATGTATCCTGGATCCCACTGTTAGCCAACACCAAGCAAATGAATGATGCTAAGGATTAATGGATGTTTTGAATACTTCTTCGTTACACATAGAAGTATACTTCACATTCCTATTGGTAAATATGAAGGCATCTACCCGACAAAAATCAGTGTCGACCAGCTGGTCATCAAAGACTGAAGTTTATTACTCAGCTGTTTTAGTATTCTTCTGTAAGTTACAACAGTCTGCACTTGTGAAGAATATGTGTGTTCTCGTTCACGAAATAATCCGTATCCTTCGGGAATAATTAGACACATTTTGCAGGTAGAAATATGCACAGTGTTAAAGAATCAAGCGTTTTATTTGAGGGGTTACTACATCTGTTGACTAGGAAATAGATTGCAGTATAATCTCAATAGCTATTCTACTTATGACAGCGAAATGCAAGAAACTGTTTTAAAACTCATTACTATCTGTTTCAAATTACCAAAGAGATATTTCCTAGAGATGATGGACGATATTCAGGGATGTTGTTGCTTGCAGTATCTCGCCGTTGACTGGACCGATTGATTGATCGGTCTCTGTTGGCATATGGGCTCCTATCCAGATGCCTCGACATTGCCTGTGTTACAGTTATACATTAATTATATATTTAAGCCATCAGTCCTGAGCCCGAATCCCAGTGCGAACAACACTCAAGGGAGGTAGGTACATCCAGCTGATAGTCTCAAATAGGACGAAATAGGTGTCCTGGTTTCCACTACCAGCTACTAACCATCATTAATAGATATTCAAGAATAATAAGAATATTTATTTTGTTTTCATATGCACTTTCCTTTCAACTAGTGGGTCGTGAGTTCGAACCGCAATCCACCTAGCGCATTTCACTCAGACAGGTAGTGTCAATAACCTTAACACAATAGTTGTGGCTCAGTTCCTGATACACGAGCTTGCGTGTGTTTACTTGGTGCATTTCATTTTTTTTAGTGGGAATGACTGTTTTTATCGCTCTTATTCAGGGGCAGTTTAGATTCCATAGTAGCTTCATGGTACAACCTTATGATGAAAAATATCCTGTGAATATGAGTAAAACTACTTAGAGTTTTTTGTGATCGATATTTAGTTTATCTACTGAGGTCAAAGTTTTTCAAAAGGAGCTGATATAATAATTAATAACAGGCCATTTGTTAGGATGCATGCACAGCCTATTAATTTTATAAATGTAACCACAATTTGTATACTGAGGTGAAAACAAGTGGCATTTGGGCTTCCAAACCTTGAAAACTGGGATGAGGTTGAGATACGTGATCCACTGGCCTAATGTTGATTGCCTAGACCAATGAGTCTCAGCTCTTATTTCTTATTCAGCTTTAATTATCTCCCTACATCGAGTGGTTAGATGCAACACTGTAAGTTAAGATGACTGGAAGCTTTTCCGCTATAATGATTTTAAATAACCCAGATAGCTTGGATGAATAATGGAGACAGATGTCGGCTACAAATTGTACAATTCACATTTTGTAGAATTCGGCATTTTTCTTATTGCTTCGGAAATCTTATCAATTAAAACATAACTGTTTCCATATATGTAATCATGCTTCTTTCTTGCCATCTAATTTTCATTTCATTGATGTGTTCTCAAGTGAAGCGGATGCCAACTGCAGAACTTGATGGATGTTTGCGCTATATCGCGAGTTGACATAAATGAGAAACTTTGAACCGATAAGCTGTAACCCAGTGGACAAGGTGTTAGTCATGAAACCTGAGGGATGAGTTCAATCCCTAGTGGTATCATGTATGCGTGCTGCTTAGGAGTTTTATATCAGGACAAAACAGCTGTCCATTGCTCCAAGTCTTCAATAGTTCTCCAACTGATGTCAGTTCATAATGAACACAACCTTATTATTCATCATCAAACTATAAATATTCTCCAGTGATACAGGTGTACAGCCCAAGTAAGTGATATTATTGTAAAAGAGAACTTTCCTTCATTTAATTACCTTCTCTCCTCTTTATAAAGATGAATCTATTGACATTAGATAACAAGATGTAAAAGTTTATTTTTATTGACTCAAAGAGGTTGAAGTGCTCTTCATAGATACTTACAGCTGAGTTGTCTCAGGTGAAATGTTTACTGGAATTTCAGTCAAATTCCGATCTGAACAGTAACGCCATCAGTTCCATATAAACAATTTGATGGGCACATGGTATGAGCTAATTAAATAAATCATAGATGAATAGTTTAGTTAGGTAAAGTTCCCAAAGAAAACTGTGAAAATAGTAATATAATCTGACCAGCAACTGATTTTTCTATTGCTTTAACACAAGTTGTTTCATCAAAACCGAATGATATTTTAAAAATAAGGCAAACTGAGGCAGTAAGTTCAGAAAGTCATGAGTATATGCATGGAAAAAGTAAACCCCTTTCAGGTTCACCTCTTATCAATGATGTGTCAAATAAAGGAATAACAAACATCTTCATACCTTTGCTCTGACACATCAGTCAATAAACCTTTCTACGGTAATCTGACAACCAGAAGAGAAGTTAGCCGGTTGAATCAGTCGACTAGAAGTGCATATCAGTCTGTCCAACTGCAACCAGCCAAAGCGAATGCATTTCACTTATCATGACCAAGCCTTTGCAAGTTGAGGGAGCTTTACTCCAATTTTCGGATCATTTCCCAGTTCCAGAGCTTATTGTGTCTGTTTGAACACCATTATACAAAAGCGTAAGATCGATCCCCTCACTGAGTAGGCAACATCATAGCAACCCAACACATGAAATCGAATACTTTCGCCAGCATACTCTTTATGATCCCTAAAAACTTATTCGTGAATCCCAAAACTCTCGCAAATGTTGGATTTCAGTGCACCGTATTCACCGGGTGATTTAATCATTTGACCATGTTCACCTCTCTGTTGGCAGACGTGCAGTATTCGTTCCACTGTGTCTCCAAAACCTTACAGAAAGGATGGGGCAAACCTTCGCTGAAGATTATTCCCTTCTCACCAAAATCTCAGAAAGGGAAGCTGTTCTCAGGCTACCTACAAAAGTCCAAAACTGAGGTGAACGACACTCGCCTTTCTCACCGAAATCGGCCAGCTTGACAAGGCCGACCATATGAACTTTCTTGGGACTGCTTCAACAATATCGACTACTGAAACTAGAAACCTGGATTCCCTTATCTTTCGTTGCACTGCATCCAGCGTACTGAGCGGAGTCCTGACATCAACTGACCGTCATGCTTTAAGGACCCAAACACTGATCAACGCATTTGGATCCCATTGATCACTATTAACGTTACTTCAACCATTATGGTGGATTTGCTGATATTAGGAGGGTAAGCAGGTACCCCGTCGGTGCTTAACTTGGCTCCACCAGTGCATGTCATCTCCAACCTACCTGGTTAGTAGCGTAAATATCCACACCACTAAGCATACAGCGTAGGACTTCTTCACGTTGATACCCTGACATGTAACTATCGTGAAGCATTTAGTTACTTCGGTAGAGTCATAGTTACAAACTTATATTAATTAGACGATCTTTTTATAATACCGAAATGTAAATTTACTTAAATTTGATCGAAATATTAAAATAATAATGATAACAATTCATGGAATTCATTTTCAATGGATACGGACTCTAAATTATATTATTAATCCTTGGGTCCTAATGGAACATACCGCTTAAGTAGCATGTCTCCACTTCACTATCTTCTCTACAGTCTTCACAACCTGGCGCCACGACAGCCCACAACTCTCATTTCTTCCTCGCACGATCTCCTCCATGTCACCCTCACCTACCACACCCAACTCGTAACTTCCCATCTGGGTTCCACTCGAGTGTCTGACCTGACGCGTGATGTCCCCAGTCGGCCTTCTCAATGTATGCTCAATCCATCTCCACCTCCTTACACTGCATATTTGTTCAGCGATAGCTTCACGGTTAGTTCGTTCCCAGAGTTCCTTGTTGCTTATTTTGACTATTTTGGCCATCTGAGCTTCAGTAAGGAGTCAGCGTAGGCAGTTGTTGATGAATGTCTGCAGTTTGTTGGAAATCCCCTTCGTAACACACCAAGTCACTGAACCATACAGTAGCACTGACTTGACTGAGTTAGTGTTGAAAATCTGTATGTAGTTCACGTTTTATGCTGAGTGCAGTGCAGAAGATCTCCACACTGGTTTCAGGCTAATCAACACCTGTCTTGCTCTTCCGATTCTGACTTTGACATCCTCGTCAGTGTCGCCTGTAGTTGAGACAGTGCTGCATGCCTAGACAGGTGAAGGAGGCCACTTCCTTTAAGTTTCTCCCGTTGATGGTGATTGCAGCTTGTTGTTGCTGATGCTGTTGTTGTTGGTTGGGTATCTTCATCACCTCTGTCTTCTCCACGTTCACTTGAAGTTCCATGTTCCTACGCTGCCCTACCTCTTCTGTCAACTTGTTAGTTTTCGCCTGCAGATCTTCGAGTTTGTGTGACATCAGACATAAGTCACCGAGCGAAATCAAAATCTTCTAGGATATTTTCCCCGGTGCAGCCAGTGTATGCCCCTCTTCTCTCTCCTCACTGTTTGTTGCATGATTCAGTCCAGTCAACCACAATCAGGAATATCATGGGTGATAGTAGGTAGCAGCCTTGTTTTACTCCCTCCTGTCTTCACTTGAAAAGCATCACTGAGCTTCCCCTTGTGGATTACTTGGCATGTGGCGTCTTCATATACTTGTTGAATGAGATTGATAAAGGTTTGTGATATTAGGTAGTGTTGAAGCAACTGCCTACCAAATTACTTCTCGGTCGAGGCTGTCAAAAGCCTTTTCAAAGTCAATGAATTTCAGGTAGACGGTTGATTGCAATTCTATACTCTCTTCTATGCTGATGCGAAGCGTTGCAATTTGGTCCACACATGATTTGTACTTCCTGAATCTAGTCAGGCAGGCTGTTCCAGTCGTAGTTTGAATCTAGTGAATCCTTTAGTCTCTCCAGGATGATGCGGCCTAATATTTTGCTTGGGGTGGACAGGAGCGTGATTCCACACCAGTTCTTGCAAAGACTTAGGTCATTCACCCTTCTTTGGGAGTTTGACAATGTAGCCCTCCTTCCAATCAATAGGCAGGTACCTTTCCTTCCTTCCTTCCTTCCACACCTTCTGCAACAGTGGTGTGAGCATGTCCGCTGTTGTCTCTGCGTCTGCTCTCAGTGCTTCTGGCAGGACTGCATCTGGTCCTGCTGCTTTCCCGCACTTCAGTAGCTTTATGGCGCTCAGGATTATTCTGACTTTCGTTGGAGGCCTTGTGTTCACTTGTAGTTCTGTGGCTGGTGGTGGCTGCAGGTGGTATTTCATGACAGAGTGCAGGTGGTCGATTCAAGAGCTTTTTGAAGTGGTCTGCCCATCGTTTCCTTTGTCTCTCTTCTTTGCTAATTAAACTTCCTCCATCATCTTTTATTGCTTTCATTTGTGTTGATCTCTTCCCTAACAGATAGTCACCTGGTTATTTGATACAATGTTGTCAGGTCTCTCTCTCCTACATGCAGCCTGTTCTGCTTCACTTCCCAGTGTGTCGTGGAATTGTCTTTTGTCTTTGCGTGCACTCTTCTTCACTTCTTTGTCCAGTGTAGTGTTTTATACATTGTGCTCAGTTCCTCTTCTCGTTGTGCATCCTTGCACTGGTTTATCTTCCACTTCACCATCCTCCTCTCCCTGCTCTATCAGCTTCCAGGTATCCGTCGAGATCCATTCCTTGTCTTCTTTCTTCTTCCTTCCTAATAGGGCTGTGCAGGTTTCTTTCCACACAGCTTTCAAAGAGTTCCAGTCTTCATCCACACATGTTTCTTCAGGGATCTTGCCCGATATCTCCCATTTTGTCTTGATGGCTGGCTGATGTGAAAATTTTCTTTGTAGTTTCGTCCTTCAGTTTCCAGGTGTTGGACTTCAACTGTGCTCTGTCACCAACTTCTTTCAAGGCTTTCAATTGGATTTTGAAGGTCCCATGCACTAGATAATGGTCTGAACCTACATCTGCTCCCCTTCTTCACCTTGTATCAAGTAGGCTGACTGCGTCTCCATTTTCTTGAGATTGAGATAAAGTCGATTTGGTTTTTAGTGTGTCCATCTGGTGAAATCGAATCCATGTCGCTGCCCTGTGAATATCCTTGTGTTTGAACACACTGCCTAGCCTCCAATCACCAAATCGTTGAGTTGAATGCGCAGAATTCTGCAAACAGTTCTCCATTCTCATTCATCACCTCACCGAGTGCTTCTCTACTCATGATGAGTTCTCTTCCTGTGTTGTCCACTTCCAGTTTGGCATTCATGTCACCCCGCCCATTAGAATTTTGATATCGCCAACTGACGTCTTGTCCAGTGTTGATTGCAGTTGTCTGTAGAATTCCTCCTCCTTCTCTTGCTCTGCATTATTTGTAGGTGCACAGTGTAGCATTGTATGATTGTGACCTTCGTCCCTTTTGAGTTGAATCTTGCTGTCGTTATCCTGCAGGAGGAGATTGGTTCCCACTGCATGAGAGCCTTCGATACTCTTGGTGAGTGACATCATGATAGCCACTCAACAACTCAGTGTGCTCGTGGTTGTCTTCTGGGTGACAATGTCGGAGTGAATTATTGATTCTCTAGTTGACAGTTTGGAGAGTCCATTTCCATTTCATCTGCTGATTCCTAGCATTCCTAGCACTTCAATGCAATACCTTCTCATCTCGTTTGCAATCTGGGCAGCCTTGCTAGGTTCATACATGGTGTGGACATTCCATGTCCCCACGTTTACCTTTGCTTTCATGGAGAGAAGAGAAGAGAAGACACATCGGCCAATTGGCTTCCCGAAGACAGGCTTTCACCAACCGGCGTCATTTCGCCTCTCCGATTCCAGCGAGGAATAATTTTGTTTTCATTTTTTTGTACTTTGTACTTTTGTGCTTTGAAGTTTCTTTAGTGGTTGGATTGGTTTTACGGCGGTAGGGTTGCTAGCCCTATGCCCTACCTTCCCTCTTTACCCGGGCTTAGGACCGGCTAGTAACTAGTGAACTAGTTAACCAGGACAATATTTTAAAAACATATGTTGAACTGATATAAACTACGCAGAAAAGTACATCCAAATCTAGCGATTTTAGATCGCATTTTCTCACACCACCAGTTCGCGATAAGCGCCAC